CAGAGTAAAAATAGATAAATTAGTAGGGATTTTTTTGATATAAAAATCAATAGCGATTGTCCAAATGAGTTGATTTCTACACGCATATAATTTGTATAGATATGGACCGTAATAAAAGAAAAAAAAAAGTGTGGCAATCACGTTACTAAGGAGTTGGGATGCACTTTGAGTCTCATTTTCTTCATGGGTCCACGTAAAAAGCTTTAAAGACGTGTCAATATTATAATAACCCTCAAAAGATTCTCATATAAGACTTGATTGATAAATTTCTTTCTTAGTCTAGAGAAAGTATAGCAACTAATGCTATTTTTTACAACATGTATTTTGATTTAAGTGATAAAGAAAAAAAAAATTACTCCAAAATTTATCTCTCTCTCTCTCTCTGTTTTTTTTTTTTTTTTTTTGGTGAGTAACTTTGCATGGTGAAAATTTTTGATGAAAATTGATGACATTAATATTTTAATTTATGGAGTAGCTTAATCGTTGGGTGGAAATTGTATGCACAAAAGTTAAGAATCATGACTTGGCGGCACAACTCAAGGAAGGTGGTAGCTCCACCGTTTGGTCTCAAGGTTAGTTGCATATCATCATCACGTTTGATCTTAAATAAATTCCCAAATAATTAATTTCCATTTCCCAATCTACATTAATTAAGTTTAATAAGTTTCAATCTACCACCTTCAGACATTCTGTTCTGTGAATGCATTAGTACCAGACCGATTTGGGCATAACTATAGCAGTTTTACCATCCAGGTTCTTTTCTTCAAGTAGTATTGTATCCATTTTTTTTTTTTTTTTTTTTTTTTTTTTTCAAATGGACTTTTGTAAAGTATTGTTACCCTATTTTTACAAAAATTACATTTTTTGTTGGACTAAATTAGTTATATCGCGCGCTAAAGAATCAAGAAACAACATATATATATACACGTCGATGGCCTTTCAAAATTTGCTCGTGATCTTCAGGTAGTTAAACAACAGTTCGTTGTTTATAAGTTTGCACAATAACAATAACTATATATCAAACAATATGAGACAGGACCAAGTAGACTTTAAGGTTGCGTTTGATATAAATGTTTAAATTAGGGTGGTTTTAGTTTTAGAATTAGAATTATGATTTATGATTTGAATTTGGGGTCCAAACTATAATTCTGGAATCAGAATTAAAACCAGAGGTTTGAACCATCTAAAATCAATGGAATATGGTTTTATTTTTTAGGGTGAATCTGGTTTAAAACATCACATCAAGATTTAAATTTTGAACCAGAACCATCCAAACCAAACAATGATTTTCAAAAATTATTTTTTACTTTTTACAAACAAACAAATGTTCGAACCAGAATAGTTCCGGTTTTAAAATCCACATACTAAACGCAACCTAAGTTTGATAGAACATGGATTCGATTCTGTATTATATTAAATGATAATGATAATAAAAAGATTTTAGGGTTCTTTTGGAGTGTAACTTGAGTGTAGTTTTTGAGTTGAATTTGAGTTATAACTTGAGTTGAAGTTGTAACTTGAATAAAGTTGGAACTTAAAAAAAATGAATTTGAATAAAGTTGGAACTCGAGTTGTCTTTTTTTGAGTTTTTTGGACAAAAGAACAGGCCCTTTGAGTGCGTTTGGAATTCGTTCTAAAATGATTTTGTTTTTTGTATGAAAATGAAAATAAAAATGTTTTCAATCTCAGAGAGAAATCATTTTTAAAAATACGTTTGGTAGTTTTATCAATAGATTATTTTTAATATAAAAAAATCAATTAATGTCCCTCTCTATGCTCAAAAGAGGAGAAAACGGAAACAAAAAATGAACTCATTTCTCTTCCATTTTACACTAAATCAAAAAACCGTTTTTATTTCCATTTTTTATTTTTAATTGTGCCAAACGCTATTTATCTCCCGCTTTCATTTTTTCTTTCTCAAAAAACGTAAAAAACAAAAACAAAACTAACTCCAAACACGACATTTGAGTTTTAAAACACCACTTTTTCGCGTCATAAAAGACATGCATGTGATTATTGTATAAACTTTGTTTCGTTTTAACAATAAATGACATCTCGTTTACACATAAATCTTGTATAATTTAGTTCATTTTGAGAAGCTACATGGTTTTTTATTCTGTGAAATGGGACTTTTTTTTATAAATAAAAACAAGAAGTCCTTGGTATACGACTATTTTATTTTTGTTTTTGTTTTTGTTTTTTTTCACATAACACTAGTTGTTAGCTTTCAAGGCTCAGTACTTTAACAATTTGTTATCGTTTCGGAAAAATAAACGACGCGTCCTTTGTTCTCAGATTTGGCGTCCTTTTAACGCATGCCGTTTTTAGCTAAGGAAGAAAATGTCGTAAAAGAAAATGCCGTTTATATATATATTTTTTCACAAACAACGTGTCGTCATCATCTAAGTTTGATGTCGTTTATTTGCCAACTCGTTTGAAAAAATTAGATTTAAGGGCATGTTTACTTTACATCAAACTCAAAAGAAAAGGAAAAGTAAGAAGTGATTCCCGTTTCTAATAATGTGTTTACTTATCAAATTAGTAATAAAAATTTAGTGGGCCCCACACAATATAAGGAATGAGTAAAAGGAATATCAATTCTTGCACTCCCTTAAGTTCCGTTCATTTCACCAATTCAAGTTTTGTTACAGTAAAAAGCTCTCAGAAATAGTCACATTTAACTTTTTTGCTACAGTAAAAAATTCTTACATAAAATCACATCTAAACTCGAATTAAAAACTAAAAAATGAATTAAACTGCAACTTAATGAATTAGTATACATTCAATGCTTATTTAATTGTGTAAAAGGACATTTTAGTGATTACATTCAGAACATTACAATTTCTAATTTTAGTAAACATAAAGTTTGTTTCTCATAATACAATCTAATAGTCAAGTAAATACATGAAAGAAAACGAATGACCCTTAATTCTATTATTTTATTTTTCTTTCCAATACTATTACCTTTTTTATTACATTTTTACGGTTTGAAAAATGCGCCCTTACATTTTAACCAAGAATAATCATGTTTTGTAATACTTAAGTCGTAAATTTTTTAATATTTTCGTTAGCTATACAAAGAAAACACAATATAATTTTCTAATTGTCTCTCTATTTCTTGAGTTCATAAAAATAATCTGGTTTTGAGAATTTTTTCTATTAGAGCATTGGGAATTCAAATACTAGAATTAAGCCATAGCATAATCAATTTGATTTACATATTTAATTTGAATTTAAAAAAAAAAAAGTTTTTCGCCGCGCAAACATGACGCGCTTCCGATTTGCTTAGACGACGCCGTTTAAGTGCAGTCTCACCATTTTTTCTCACTCTAGACGTCAAAACGATTTAGGGCTCGTAGTCGTTCACGTTCTCATCTCTACAGAGTACAGAAGAAAGAAACAAACAAAAGACGAACAAAATCTCCTGTACCTCTTCAAGCCAAATCTCTAACTCGTTTCTTCTCCTCCAAAGAACGATTCAACAGTTTTCCAAGCTCAATTTCCTCGTTATCTAAGGTCAGTATTTCCAGTTTTTTCACAAACCTTTTCGTTTTGAATTTGCCAAAGACTGAAATTGGAAGCGGAATTTTTGAACTTTGAGTTGTTGAATGTTGTCGTAAGAGATTAGTTTTCTTTTCGGTTTTTGTTTGGTTTGTGAGAATTTGACGAGAATTTTCTCGGAAAATAGTTGTTTATTTTGTTTGGCTCTAGTATAGATATGGAGCGTCAGAAAGAAGAAATAATGGAAGTGTCGAAGAAGATTTTCGAAAATGTAAACTCGATGTCTTTCGTAAGTTTCGATGACGAGCAGGTTCGTTCTCTTGTGATGATAAGAGAATTGGCTCGTGGAATTGTTGAATACATATGAGACGTCATGAAAGTGCCCCCCCCCCCCTCTCTTAAATTTATGTATTTTCCTTTGTTTTTTGTTTTTTGTTTTTTTTATTTTTGTTTTTACAGGTTTCAAAGAGTGATGTGGAGAAATCACTATCCTCCAGCGTTGAGAAGATGGTAAGAGAACGTTATTATTATTTTTTGGGGATTGTTGTTCTGCAATTGCGTTGTGTGGTTTGGCTAAATGTATTGGAATTGCGTAGGTTTGTGTAGGGATGTTGATAAGATTTTGAGTAGGATAGGTTCTGAAAGTATGGATGATGAGCATTCACGGTCAGTTTTGCGGATGAAAGAGATTGCGTCATCCGTTGTTACTAAACGAGCTAAGATTTCAACTACTAGGCGTGGTGAACCTGCTGTATCGGTATGGTGCTAAGCTGAGAATGCTATTTTTTTTTTTTTGTATATTTTGTGCCGCACCAAAGTGATTTTTCTTTGTTATTGTAGGTTAATGGAGTTGATACGGAGACTGTGGAGAGCGGGGCGGGTTTGGCCTTGACCCTAAGCAACAAGGATGTGGATATTGGAGGGCTTCACAAGAGTTTATTTGGAAATGAAGTATGGGAGGTCAAAACTCAGACAGGAAATGAAGATGCTCAGGGTGAAAACCAGGGCAACATAATGATTGAGCCATCGGTTACGGGCAATGGAGATGTCAGGGGTGGAGGGGAAGAGGGCAGAACACTTGTTGATGAAGCAATTACAGCTTGCAATGAGGAGCAAATTGGACAGACAGAAGGGATGATGTTTGATAATATGGAATTGGAGGTTGAAGATCTGTTGGGTACTGAAGATGGCCAGAATGGTAAGCAAGAAACCTTTAATAGGGCATCTGAGCCAAGAAATGAGAGCAGTAAGCAGCAGGTGAGAAAATCACCTCCACCATCACCCGTTCCGCTCTCTTTTATGTGGCCTGCAGATGGGAATATCACCTTAGATTGGGTAAAGAATATGATGGCTACACTTGATCAGGCTTCAAAGAAGGTTCCGCTCTCAGAGTTTCGGTCTGTCATGCCAATTTCTGTAGTGGATGAGTTAATTAATGCTGCTTCAAGTACACTGTCCAAGGAACCAAATTGCGTAGAAGTTGATTGCCATGGAGAGGCTTCAAGAGTTGTTTTAGTGGGTGACATTCATGGCCAATTTCATGATTTACTCAATCTTTTTGATCTTGCTGGGCTTCCCTCTGAGAATCAATTTTATGTTTTCAATGGAGATTATGTAGACAGAGGAGCGTGGGGCTTGGAGGTGTTTTTGGTATTGCTGGCTTGGAAGGTAAGATGAAAGTACTGAAGATTCTATTAGTTTCCCTTTTCCCTGAGTTGTTTTACGTATGTTGGTTTATCTTTGATTTCAACTATAGAGCAACTTGGGACGATTTGTAGTTAAGCTATACTGTGTTTTAGGCTTCTAGCAAAAAACAAAAAAGTCATGGTAGATTGTTTATTTTTTTAGTAATAATTCCATGAGTTGCAATATCTTAAGTATGTTGCATTCATTATTATGCCTTTGGCTTACTTTTTGGGGCATTGGTATTTTAAACTATTTTGTTCATGAAAAGAACTAAGCAAGCATTGCTTTCTTACTTTCCTGAGGCATTTTATTTGTGGGTATAAAGTACTGTTCTAAGAAGCAGCTTTTGTCATATTTTTTGGTTAGTATATGTAGAGAATATTTCACATTTTTGTGTTTAGGTTTTGATGCCTGGCAGAGTTTATCTGCTTCGTGGGAATCACGAAACGGCATTTTGCACAACAGTATACGGTTTTGAGCAAGAGGTCAAGACCAAATATGGTGATCTAGGTGAAACGGTCTACAAGAAATGCCTGGAATGCTTCAAAGAACTCCCTTTAGCCTCCATTATATCAAGTTGTGTATACACCACTCATGGAGGACTTTTCCGGAGCATGCAGGTGGGTCCTTTGCGAAGGTCTAAGCGAAAGAGGGTACTGGAGTTAGGTTCTTTAGAAGACTTGTCTAAAGTGAATAGATTTCTTGTAGATGCATCAGATGAAGTTCCAAGCATATTAACTGATGTGCTATGGTCAGATCCATCTAAAGAAGATGGTCTAGTTGAAAATGAGGGTCGAGGAATGGGTCTATCATGGGGTCCTGATTGCACCGAGAATTTTTTAAAACAATCCAAATTAAAGGTAAAATTTGTAATATAGCCTTTATTTATTTGAATTGTTTGTATAAGTTTGTTTGAGCGCAAGCTACAAACAACTGGCACATAAACTCCATCGGTTTATGTTATGAAATGTTCAGTTCTACTTCTCTACTATATCATGAGGATAATTTCCTTTGCTTGGAGACTATATTGAAGAGTCACTTTGCAAAGATTGGTTACTCTGTTTTGTTGCTTAACAGTTGATCATAAGATCACATCAAGGTCCTGATGCAAGGGTTGGTCAAGATGATTTTGGAGATATGTTAAATGGATACAGCCTGGACCATGTTGGAGAATCGGGGAAGCTCTACACCTTATTTAGTGCTCCCAATTACCCGCAGGTTCTGGTTATTTGCTCTTCTTAGCATCTTGTAATTGAAATAGCATTATTAATTTTGGATGCTTAACATTATTCCTTGAGATATCGTGGAAGGTTATTTTGGGTGTTTGCTTAGGAAGTATTTATGCGGGTGCATAGTTTGCTCTTTTAATAATGTCTTCTTTGAATTATGACTTGTTTTATGGCTAATTTGTAACTTTGATGTTATCAAATATCATGCTTAGATTTTTTCTGCTACTTTGGAATTGTTCTTCAAATTAGTGAGTTGATTATTATGGTTTGTTCTTGGTAAAAAAGAAAAGAAAAAAGAAAGTTGCTACATTCATAAATTTTCTTTTAAAAGTGATTTTTTGGAATTTGAAAAAACTGAAAATATTTTTCTCATTACTAGGTACAAGTGATGAGATGATTTGTAAGTCTTTTGCTTCTAGTGGGACAGACAAATTCAATCTCTATTTGTATTAGTTTATTACTTTTTTACCCTTGAAGAACAAAGGTGCATCTTAACTCAATTGTTATGTTTACAATGGTAATTGAATCTTGTAATTCTTGATATCAAACATAAACTAGGGAAAAATAAAAGAGATAAACTTTAGTTGCTAATAATGTTAAATATTTGTTATCTTAACTTCAACATTGGCTTTACATTTTACAGTTCGGCGAAACACAGTTTCCCAATGATGGTGCATATGCTGTATTGAAATCTCCAAATTTTGAAACTCCGTCTTTCCATTCATTCAAAGCTGTAGAAAGACCAAACTCCGTCTTTACAGATGAATCATAGAATGTTGTATCAAAGACAAGGATATTTATGTCCCTTGGGAGGCTTGATTTGGGACCCTCTGAATGTGTTTAATACTGCATACTTAGAATAGATGTCATTGCGTGAGAAGGGTTGAGAAGATTCTCTGAAAAAGTTCCCTGGTTAAATGTAAGGGAGTCCAATTCAGTATCCCATTAGTTCCTTTGAATTTTTCATACATGTATCTCCGTACGGTGTTGGTGATGTGAATAATGCTAGTGAATAAGCCTTGATATCAGTTGTAAGTTGGTAATTTTTTCAATAGAGTTTGCTCTTCAAATTTTTCTGTGGCTTCATAACATATCTATAAAGATTTTCCTTCTTAATTAAAACTATTCGACTATGGCACCTATGTGTTTTCGAGGGCAGGCAGGAATTCAAAATTGCAATGGGGTTTCGGTAGGATTGCCTTATAGCCGACCAGCCCCTCGATATTTGTGTTTTAGGCTCGTATGAGCTTCCTTACAATATTTTTTCCCTTAATAATTTCTGTAAAGAACTTATAAATTAGGAAGTACAACTTATTCAATATAGGCATTAATAGACGTAGATTTGCTTCTGTGATGTGCACACACAGACTTCAACAGATGGCTTCTCCTCGTCTCAAACCACTTCACCAGCTTGGATTACCTCTAAGGTTGACTTTGAGGCAATGGGCATTTCAAACCCTCCTTCCTGGAGCATTTCCTTGGCGGATAATGCAGGCGGCACCAAAGATGTCCAAGTTTCTAGAGCCCCAACAGCAGCAGGACTGCCTCTACCTTCAGACTTGCCAGTAAGAAAACCTTTCATGGCTGCTCGCCACATTCAATATTTGTTATCGGGCGTTGAAAAATCACGGTTTAATATGCAGGAGCCTCACAAGGCTGCGTTCGAGTATCTCTTTGAGCTTGTTGCTGCGCTGAAGCATATGCTTTCAACAAGTAAGTTGCTCACTTCGTTCCTTTGCATTTGTGTCATTTAAGATGTTGATACTGTTACTATTTTTGTAATGTAGGCGTGATTGAGAGCAAATCCCAAGGGTCGGCCGAAAAAGGAAGAGGACCAAATGAAAACGAAGGGCAAAAGCAAAACAGTCTGGTCAACTTTAAGCCCAAGGAGAATACATCAGCATAACATGCCAAGACTGGCTAGACATTCATTGCTATCCGTATCTGGAGATTCTTATGTCTTTATACCCTTAACGTTGTTTTTGTAAAGATCAGACTTAGCTTAATCACAGTATGTGCATTTCTAGATGTGAATACTTTTGTTAGTGTTTTGGGGCTCAATTGGCAGGCTAACTACTAGGCTGTAGCTGCTGCTGTGATGCGTTGTAAGTTGTAATGCGCCATATGCACCATTCAATACTATAAACGAGAATAGATATATGACCCTGTTTGTTTTGTAGGTTTGAACAAAAATTTTAATTCTAATTTTTATAGAACGATAGCACTAGGATAGAACGTTTTGAATTATGGTTCAAATTGTGAAAATTGTGTCACCAGGATTATTATTCCCCATTAAGTTACTTGTTCAATATGTTCTAAAAGAAAACGAGGTTGTTCCTTTAGCCCAAAACAGGAAAAAATTAGTTGGAAGAACTGCACAGTGCGTGTCTTGAAATTTTCTATTTCTAAGTTTTCTAGAGACCTAAGTAGACAATGATATTGCCAGAAACGAAACAAAATGGGAACCTAGAATTCTATCATAATAAACTAAAATTACCGGTTAATTGAGAAAGTCCTGTGCAGAAATGACAACGACGGGAAAGTGCCATGACTTTGACGACCTTCTCAACACAACCAAAGATCAGGAGACTCCCTCTTCACCGATGACGATGGAGATGTCTAATTTAGATTGACACTCATTTTAAGGTTGTACGCCTCTTCTTTAAAAAAAAAGAAAGAATAAGGGAAAAGAACATAAATGACACCATTACATCAATCTATACCAAACAAAAAAATATATGTTAATTTTTTTTAAGAAATTGATTAAATAAATATTAAAGGTAATAGTATGAGCTGCCTATCCCAACTCGATCCCGGCAACTTGAAAGGGATATTCGGGGTTGAGTTGAAAAATGTTTCAAGTCTACAGAATTGGCCGAGCCCGGTTCGGGAATTTGGGACAGGCTAGGACCGTGAGTAGACAAACAATGATAAGTTCTTTACCGACCCTTTTAGTTTAGTCTAAACTTACCTCTCTAGTTAATTTAGCTTCATCAGTAGAAATTTTTAAATGACCAAATTAAATTAATATATATTGATTAATTTAGCCTGTTTATACGTATAAATTTTGTTGGTATATGTATTAACTTTACATTTATTAATTTGATCTGTTTATTAAGTCTTTTTTAAATAATTTTCTTTTCAAGTCTTCCAACTCTAGTTGAAACTTTACTTAAATTATAAAATAATATTAGGTTAATTTTTTCTTTTCAAGAAGGAACTCGTGAATACTATATCAAATCATCATAGATTTTTATTAATCATTTTTAGCATGATATTTGTATATATCCAAAATAATTTTTTTTTTTCAACTTTTTCATATAAAAATTTGACTCTAAGCCTACAATATTTCAATATTATTTCTAAATTTTGAAGTGTTGTGTTTTTCTTATACTTTATTCTTTTTGATAAATGGTTTTCTTATCATTTCATTCACAATAAATTTCTTTTTAAAAGGACATATAGATATATATTTGATGTAATTTTTGCTCACATGTGCAAAAATTGAGACCCGTTTAGTTCATTGATTTGAGTTTTTAATTTAAGTTGAGATTTGATATCATGTGAGAGCTTTTTACTGTAACAAAAAAGTTAGATATAATTATTTTTGATAGCTTATTACTGTAGCAAAACTCGAATCGGTGATATGAACATGACTTAAATAGCACGACTTCTGAATTGATCTCAAATACTTAATTGTCAGAACTAAAACGGCGCCGTTTCAATACACACCGAACTCTTCACTTTCATTATGTGTCTTCTTCTTATCCTTCAGTCGAAGATTTTACTTTTTATTCATCATCAAATTAAAAAAAGAATCCTCAAAACGATCTAGGGCTTGAAGTCGTTTGGGTCTCTCCCTCTCGCTCTCTACCGCGACGAATCTCCTTCAAAAAAGAGCCGATTCGAACTTCCCTTTGGACTTTTGCTGCCGTTTGCAGTCCAACCATGCCGGGCGAAGGTCAGTGATCTCTGCTCGGTACCGTATTTCACCGCTTTCTGTTTTGCATTGCCAAAGAAAAGACTCGAATTTTAACGTCCAATTCTTCGATTCATGAGCCGTCGCAGATATTGTTTCGTTTTTCCTCTACTGGGTCTTTGAATTTCATTGGGAAGAGAAACAATTTTTTTGGGTTTTTTTTTTCTTTATAACAGTTTGGACGTAAAAAGGAATTTATTTATAATAAGTTTCAGTTTAAATTTGATGCAATATGAAGCTTTATGAGTAATTAAGGTTCAAGTGTGATTGTTAATATTGATAATAAGTGAATAATAGTGGTAATAGTGATTGCCATGAATTTGAACTTATATGGTGTCATGCTGTTTTGGCTGCAGATGTGAGGTCTCGCAAAGAGAGAATCTTAAGTGTAGCTAGAAAGGTTGTGGACAACGTAAACGCCATGTCGTTTACAAATTTAGATGACCAACAAGTGCATTCACTCATGATGATGAGAGAAATAGCACGTGGGATTCTTTGTAACAGAGTTGAAAAGGTAAGACAGAAAGAGATTTATTATATATGTATACATACATATATATGTATATGCATATATTATATTCTTCATGATATGAATTATTAGCTTTGTTGATTCTATTGATGATTTTCATAGGTTTCCATGAATGATGTGAAAAAGGCACTATCCTCAAGTATTGAGAAGATGGTAAGTGTCCATTTTTATTGGTAAGTAGGTTATTTTGCATTTATTATGTTGTTTGGCTTACTCTACCATTGTTGAGCAGGTGGGTTCGTGCAAGGATGTTAACAGTATTTTGAGTAAGATACCTTGTGAAGGTATGGATGATGAGCAGGCTCGGTCAGTTTCACGTATGAAAGAGATTGCATCAACAATTGTTACTAGGCGTGCTAAAATTAAAACCTCTCAGCATCGTCAACCTGTTGAATCAGTATGGCAATAATTCAGAATGTTATTCTTCCAGCTCTTCTTTAACCATGGTGATTTTAATTTCCATTGTTTTTTTCATATTACAGGTGGATAGAGTTGATGCAGAGACTGTGGAGAGCAAAGTGGGTGGGGCCTCGGCTACAAGCAACAAGGATACGGATATTAAAATGCTTCAAAGGAGATTATTTGAAAATGAGGGGCCAGAAGCCGAAGCAGACACTAGAAATGAAGAGGGTCGAAATGAGAATCAGGACAGCACTATAGACGGGCTGTCGCACTCGGGCAATGGTGATGTCCAAGTTGGAGCAGAACAAGGTATAACAGTTGTTGATGGAGAAACAGACACAGTGCAGTCTGGACAGACAGAAGGACTGATGTTTAAAGATGTGCAAGTAGTGGTCGATTCTGAGGTAAGTGCTGAAGATGGTCGGAATGAGATGCAGGAAACCGTCTATGAGACATCTAAAGTTAGCAATGAAGATGGTCAGAATGAGGTGATAAAATCAACCTTACTGTCACCCCTTCAGCTTTCTCTTATATGGCCTCCAGATGGGAAAATAACCTTGGAATGGGTAAAGACTATGATGGAAAAACTTGAGCAGTCTTCAAAGGACCCACCAACAGAGTTTTGGTCTCTCATGCCGATTTCCGTGGTGGATAATTTAATTGATGCTGCTTCAAGTATCCTATCCAAGGAACCAAATTGTGTAGAAGTTGACTGCTGTGGAGAAGAGTCAAAAGTTGTTGTAGTGGGTGATGTTGAGGGACATTTCCACGATTTACTCAACATTTTTAACCTTGCCGGATTGCCCTCTGAGAACCAATTTTATGTGTTCAATGGAAACTATGTAGACAGGGGAGCATGGGGCGTGGAGGTGTTTTTGGTCTTGCTAGCTTGGAAGGTAAGCAGTGATAGTATATTGGTTTACCTAAGTTGATTTACCTGTGTTGATTTTATCTTTTGCATCAACTAAGAGTGTTCTATTTTTTTATTTTTATAAAACTTTTCAATAGTCTAGAATGGTTCATATATCACCTAATATACTCATTTACCTATATTTGCGACCAATTGGCATGGTGATATCTATTATATTTTTTCTGTTTATATGAGTTCCAAAATATTGAGCTTGATGCTTTTTATGTCGCTTGGATCTTTTCCCTCCTAACAATCTGTATTTGATCGGACCTTTCAACTATTTGATATTTGGAAAGAGTTAAGCAAATATTGTTTTCTTGGTTACCCGTAGTATTTTATCGGTGGGCAGAGTCCAGTATTTTGATTGGCAGTTGCTCTTTTGCAATGATTTTGTTTGACATATTCTATTGTTCTTTCACATTTTAATGTTTAGGTATTGATGCCTAATAGAGTTTATCTCCTACGTGGAAATCATGAGACCAAATTTTGTACATTGATGTATGGCTTTGAGCAAGAAGTGAAGACCAAATATGGTGATCAAGGTGAAATGGTCTTTAATAAATGCTTGGAATGCTTCAAAGAGCTTCCTCTGGCCTCAATTATAGCAGGTTGTGTATATACCACTCACGGAGGGCTTTTCAGAAGCACGCACATTGGACCATTGCGAAGGTCTAAGAGAAAGAGAGGACCGTTGCGAAGGTGTGAGAGAAAGAGAGCACAGATTCTGGAGTTAGGTTCTCTAGAAGACTTGTCTAAAATAAATAGGTTTCTTATAGATGCTTCGTTAGAAGATTTGAGTATTTTGACTGATATCCTATGGTCAGATCCATCAAAGGAAGATGGTCTATTTGAAAATGCTGATAGAAGAATGGGCCTGTCATGGGGTCCTGATTGCACAGAGACTTTTTTAAAAGAATCCAAATTAAAGGTAAAATTTGTAATATAACACTTATTTGCTGGAATTCTTGTTTGCATGCTTTCGTTTGAGTATATAAAATGTGAGACATAGACTTCATCTCTGGATGCTATGTACATGTGGATATCCAAGTCAAGATGACGTTATTCCTTTTGTTGTCTATCTAAGAAGCTTTGTGCTTTTGCTTTCAAATTTGTACTCTAGTTCTTTGTCATTGGTCGTATGTGAAATAGTTCAATTTCACTTAAACACTAGCTTAAAGTGTCATGACGGAATATTGGTTTCTCTCTATCTGTTGTTGACAGTTGATCATAAGATCACATCAAGGCCCTGATGCGAGGGCTGGTCAGGATGAGTTTGGAGACATGTTAAATGGGTACAGCTTGGATCATGATGGCGAATCAGGGAAAATGTACACTTTGTTTAGTGCGCCAGATTACCCACAGGTTTTGGTTCTATACTCTCCCTTACATCTTTAAGGTGTTTGTTCAACATATATTTTCACTCTATATGTTTGTATGTATATTTTCAGCGAATAATTGATTATTGGGAGAATGTTGAAAATTTTGGTGCGTGTTGTTAATAATGTTAAAGATGTATTTTGTTTTATTTTATTTTTGTTGAATAAGTGATAGATGTAATTTTTTCTTGCCATTTTTGTGAATTGCAGTTCGGTGAACCAAAGTATAACAATGAAGGGGCATATGCTGTGCTGAAGCCTCCAAATTTTGAAACTCCATCTTTCCATTCCTTCAAAGCCGTAGAAAGGCCAAAGGTACGAGACGTAGTGACATAGTCCATGAATTTTTTATTCCAAATAGCGGGATGAGTATATGTAACAGATCGTTAGTCCATTTTTTTCTATCTCTGTCACTTTATCTTTTTTTAGTGTCGTCTACGACCCTTTTGTGAGAGGAAGAAAGTAATGGGCCTGTTTGGTATATGGGTTCAAACCAGGGTTTAAACTACGGTTATTGATTAGAACTTTTGAAATTTAAATTTTTTGTGAGAGAAAAATACTGTAGCAGAACCAAAATCATGGGTTTGCACTATAGTAGAAGCCATATAGCAAACAATACACTAAGGGCATGTTTACGTTGCATCAAAGGGAAAGGAGAAGTAAGGATTAATTGATTTTCGTATCTAATAATGTGCTTACTTATAAAATTAGAAATGGAGATTTAGTGGGCCCCACACAATATGGGGAATGAGGAAAGGGAATACCAATCTTTGCACCCCTCTTAGTATTGATTCCTTGTCAAAGTGAATGAATGCTAAATTTACTTACCTACCTTTAATAAATTACTATACAATCAATGATTAATTAATTGTGTAAAAAGACATTTTAGTGATTACATTCATAATATTACTATTCCTAATTTTAGTAAACGTAAGAAAGGGAATGAGGTTGTTTCCCATCACACTATCTAATAATCAAGTAAACACATGAAAAGGAATGAATGATCCTTAAATCCTATTACTTTTCTTTCCTTTCCAATCCCATCATCTTTCCAATTACATTCCTTTACGGTTTAGTAAACACGCCCTATGAGTCAAAGAGTCGAACAATTTATAGGGTTAATTTTTTTTGTCATCTTTTCCTTGTAATTTCTTTAAAGAGCTTGACAAAACAGCTCATTCAAGATTGTCACTTATGGAGATCTATTTGCTTTTGTGGCATGCATGCACAGCTTACACTGTATGGCTCATCTTCATCTCAAGTTAATATTCCTCCACGGAAGAGTGCTAAGGTCGAATTTGAGGCATTGGGCATATCTAATCCTCCTTCTTGGAGTGTTCAGTTGGCCGATAACTCAGGTGGCAGCCAAGTTGTCGAAGTTCCTAGGGCCCCTGTGGTTGAAGGACTGCCTCTGCCTTCAGACTTTTCGGTAAGGAATACTTTTTATTGTGCTTTCCATATTTGATTTTGATCTTTGTCATTGAGGTATGAAAATCAAGGTTATTAATGTAGGAGGCTCACAAGGCTACGTTTAAGTATCTCTTTGAGCTTGTTGCTGGTCTGAAACATATGCTTTCAACAAGAGTAAGTTGCTCATTCATCATCTTTTCTCATTCAAATTTTGAATTATGGGCATTGTTGTCACTGTTGTTATTTGCTTGAAGCTGGTGATTGAGAGTGGAGTACCCGTGTTGGCCATAGAAGGGAGCGTTCCGAAAGAAAATGAAGGGCAGATGATTGAGAGTGCAGTCTCCGTGTTGGCCATAGAAGGGAGCGTTCCGAATGAAAATGGAGGGAGTGTTCTGAATGAAAATGAAGGGAGTGTTCTGAATGAAAATGAAGTTAGTCCTTGCAATGAAAAAGAACCCAGTGTTCCGAATGTAAGTGAAGGGAGTGTTCCGAATGAAAACGAACGCAGTATTCCGAATGAAAACAAATGCAGTATTCCGAATGAAAATCAAGGGAGTGTTCCGAATGACAACGAACTCGGTATTCTGAATGACAACGAACTCGGTATTCTGAATGAAAATGAAGGGAGTGTTCTGAAAGACAACGAACACAGTGCTGTGATTGAAAATGAAGGAAGCGTTCTGATTGAAAGTGAACACAGTGTACTGATCGAAAGCGAACGCAGTGTACCGAAGGAAAACAAAGAGCAAGAAGACAACGACGTAGAGATGAAGCCAAGTGAGGAAAATGACGTAGAGATGAAGCCGAGTGAAGACAACGCAGGAGAGATGAAGCCAAGTGAAGACAATGATGTAGAGATGAAGCCGAGTGAAGATAACGATGCAGAGATGAAGCCGAGTGAAAATGCATAGCATGCCAAGATCTACTGGACTTGAGAATTCATTGCTAATGACATCCGAAGAATTTTATCTATATCTCGTCCACTTTGGTAACAGAAGATTGAGCAGAGACATAATAAGCGCATGCCAAGAAGTGATTACTCTTTATTAATAGGTCAAAATTGGCATGCGAATATACCAGAGGCCCTGGCTGTTAGCATGTTTTTCTTTTCAGGTATACTAATGTTATTCAAATTTGAAATACTCGGAAGTAATTGTTTTTTGTGTTTCAGTCAATAAGCAACTAGTACTTAGTAGTTACACAATTATTTTTCTAAATCGAATTTTATCCGTTTTTATTAAAAAGTCAATTTCCTTATCGTTTTCTTTTCGTTTATTATTATTTATTTTTTTTGGGTTGCTGTATAAATAAATAAATAAATAACATCATCAACAAGAACTTTATTAACATAATTATCGACAATAAATTTAAACCAACCGAACCAGGTTTTCAAGTTCTCCTTACAATCATTAACTTAAACCTAGTCAAACCTACAATATCATAATGACATAACTTACAGGAATTTAAAAGCCACAATTCTACAACTTGAGCATATTTGCCACGAGGAACATAAAAAGCGTATATGACTCGGAACAGCTTTTCTAACTAATATGTTGTTTCATCCCTACGGTTGGAATCGCTGGACCGTTTACGTTTTGCAGCACTCTTGTGTCTTCCCTTTCGTGGCTCACCAATAATCTCCGTCAAACAGCTATGCACAAAGTTTTTAATCTCGTTAAGCAACTTCATATCTTGAGAATCCATCCGATCTATCAACACTGAATCAACTATGCTTCCAATTTCCTTTATAGCAGCAACCTGTATGAAGAATGGTCAAACATATGCAAGTATTCCACATAGGAGGGAAAAAAAGGACCAACTATATTATAAATGGGCTCTTTGGAATCTGACTTACCGTCCTTTGAAACTCGGATTCGAGTGATTTAGGTTGCCTTATAAATTTACGGGTAATTTTCTCATACCACTGCATGTACTCACTTTCATCCACATCATCAACACCATCCACAATATGTTGTTTGTGGTCCAACCAATCCTTTACCTCTGTGTGAACTTTTCTTTTGGCCTCTGATTCTGTATCTTTTGTCAAATCTTTTACCTCTGCGTGCACTTTTTCTTTGGCCTCTGATCATGTATCTTTTGTCAAATCTATCCCTTGATCACCAGATCAGATCCTTTTCTCCCATTGCTTGACCTTCTGTGGGATTGGCTGAGGCGAGCCAAATTGCCTTAAGCAACGATCTGGCATGTGTCTTTCTACCTTGTCAATGCATATCAGCTAGGGCCGGCAATTACAGACACGATACGATAAAACGATACAAAAGCGGCACGAGATAAATGAGTTTGGACCGCACGATTATTAATTGAGTCGTTAACGGGCTGGCACGAATAACACGAAAATAAATGGGCTGGATTCGTGCCAGTCCGTTTAACACGCTTAACCCGTTTAGTTACATGATAGAGACTTTGTTCCCAGTTGGGATATAAGCGCGCGTATAGCGCTCAATTGTTTCAGTTGATGCATCCTCAGGACACTTGGAAAAGCACTTTTTCAACCAAGTAAGCTTCAACATTCCGCCATTCAGGTCCTCCGGGGCTTTTCCTAGTAGCTTCTCACAAACTACACTAGGTGAGTTTGATTGTGGACCTACCACAGGGTTTCCTTCAATTGCCAGACCAAGTATCAGCCCAACATCCTCAAGGGTTATGGTCATTTCTCCTACAGGCAAGTGAAACGTATTGGTTTCTCTCCTCCACCTGTCTGTTAGAGCTGAGATGAGCGAGTTATCGAGCGAAAACGAGGGGATCAATCTAAGGTACCCAAATCCCGCCTTCTCAACCAACTCAATTTGTTTTCGGGTGAGCTTCCACTGTACCAGCATCGAAGGGTGTTGATGACATCTAAGCACACCTCGCTCCTGCACGTGTAAAAATTAATTTTTAGCCACAAAACGTAGTACCCAATTAACACAAGTTTATAAATACAGGAAAAATAACAACCTGCCCATCCCAAACAGCTGAGGAGACATGGTTCTCTTGATCATATAGCACAGACTTATCAATTGGTCCAGGATCTGCAACAATTGCCATTTGAGCTGCAAACAAGAATAATAATTTAAAAAAAAAAGAAACAATGAAATATTAAATCAAAACTAGACCCATGATGGGTGCTTCATCATATGTTAAGTTAATCGTAACAGCAATAGTTGAGGGTAAATAAACAAAATCCTAGATAAGTTAAACAGTCAGCCAATGACTAAGCTTAAATATGACTAGATCAAGGAATGTGACATTAAGATCAGAAAAATATTCCATTCACCAACATACTCATAAGTCATACCATACATGTAACATACACAGGGAAAAAAAAATCTTATCAACATAAACGGATGATTAAGCCAAAAGCTAAAGTCATTAATTTTTTAATATTTCTTTCATTCCAAACTGCTTTAAATCAGAGTGTTGATAAATCTTTCCAAGGGCTTAATAATAGTTTAGGATTTTGTCTGAATGTTCAAGTATAACAATGAAGGGGCATATGCTGTGCTGAAGCCTCCAAATTTTGAAACTCCATCTTTCCATTCCTTCGAAGCCGTAGAAAGGCCAAAGGTACGAGACGTAGTGACATAGTCCATGAATTTTTTATTCCGAATAGTGGGATGAGTATATGTAACAGATCGTTAGTCCATTTTTTTCTACCTCTGTCACTCTATCTGTTTTTAGTGCCGTCTACGACCCTTTTGTGAGAGGAAGAAAGTAATGGACTTGTTTGATATATGGGTTCAAACTACGGTTATTGATTAGAACTTTTGAAATTTAAATTTTTTATAAGAGAAAAATACTGTAGCAGAACCAAAATCATGGGTTTGCACTGTAGCAGAAGCCATATACCAAACATACACTAAGGGCATGTTTACTTTGCATCAAAGAGAAAGGAGAAGTAAGGATTGATTCCTTTTCTCATCTAATAATGTGTTTACTTACAAAATTAGTAATTAATATTTAGTGGGCCCCACACAATATGGGGAATGAGGAAAGGGAATACCAATCTTTGCACCCCTCTTAGTATTGATTCCTTGTCAAAGTGAATGAATGCTAAATTTACTTATCTACCTTTAATGAATTACTATATAATCAATGATTAATTAATTGTGTAAAAAGACATTTTAGTGATTACATTCATAATATTACTATTCCTAATTTTAGTAAACATAAGAAAGAGAATGAGTTTGTTTCCCATCACACCATCTAATAGTCAAGTAAACACATGAAAGGGAATGAATGACCCTTAAATCCTATTACTTTCTTTTCCTTTCCAATCCCATTATCTTTTCAAATACATTCCTTTACGGTTTAATAAACACGCCCTAAGAGTCGAACAATTTATAGGGTTAAATTTTTTTTTTTTTTTTTTTTTTGTCATCTTTTCCTTATAATTTCTTTGATTTTGATCTTTGTCATTGGAGGTCTGAAAATCAAGGTTATTAATGTAGGAGGCTCACAAGGCTACGTTTAAGTATCTCTTTGAGCTTGTTGCTGGTCTGAAACATATGCTTTCAACAAGAGTAAGTTGCTCATTCGTCATCTTTTCTCATTCAAATTTCGAATTATGGGCATTGTTGTCACTGTTGTTATTTGCTTGAAGCAGGTGATTGAGAGTGGAGTCCCCGTGTTGGCCATAGAAGGGAGCGTTCCGAATGAAAATGAAGGGCAGGTGATTGAGAGTGGAGTCCCCGAGGGAGCGTTCCGAATGAAAATGAAAGGCAGGTGGTTGAGAGTGGAGTCCTCGTGTTGGCCATAGAAAGGAGTGTTCCGAATGAAAATGAAGGGAGTATTCTGAATGAAATTGAAGGGAGTGTTCCGAATGAAAATGAAGAGAGTCCTTGCAATGAAAAAGAACCCAGTGTTCTGAATGAAAGTGAAGGGAGTGTTTTGAATGAAAACGAATGCAGTATTCCGAAGGAAAATCAAGGGAGTGTTCCGAATGACAACGAACTCGGTATTCTGAATGAAAATGAAGTGAGTGTTCCGAAAGACAACAAAGTGCTGTGATTGAAAATGAAGGGAGCGTTCTGAATGAAAGCAAACGCAGTGTACCGATTGAAAACAAACGCAGTGTACCGAAGGAAAACAAAGAGCAAGAAGACAACGACATAGAAATGAAGCCAAGTGAGGAAAACGACATAGAGATGAAGCCGAGTCAAGACAATGCAGGAGAGATGAAGCCGAGTGAAGACAATGACGTAGAGATGAAGCCGAGTGAAGACAACGATGCAGAGATGAAGCCGAGTGAAAATGCATAGCACGCCAAGATCTACCGGACTTGCGAATTCATTGCTAATGACATCCGAAGAATTTTGTCTATATCTCTCGTGACCATTTTTGTAAAAGAAGACTGAGCAAAGACACAATAAGCGCATGCCAAGAAGTGATTACTCTTTGTTAATAGAGCAAAATTGGCATGCGAATATACCAGAGGCCCTGGATGTTAGCATGTTCTTCTTTTCACGTATAATAATGTTATTCAAATTACTTGAAAATATTCGGACATAATTGTTTTTCCTTGTGTTTCAGTTAATAAGCAACTAGTACTTAGTAGTTACACCATTCTTTTCCTAAACCGAATTTTATCCATTTTCATTAAAAAGTAAATTTCCTTACCGTTTTCTTCTCGTTTATTTATTTACTTTGTTTTTGGGTTGCTATATAAATAAATAAATAATATCATCAACAAGAACTTTATTAACATAATTATCTACAATAAATTTAAACCAACCGAACCAGGTTCTCAAGTTCTCCTTACAATCATTAACTTAAACCTAGTCAAACCTACAATATCATAATGACACAACCTACCTACGGGAATTTAAAAGCAACAATTCTACAACTTGAGCATATTTGCCACGAGGAACATAAAAAGCGTATGACTCCTCGGAACAGCTTTTTCAACTAATCTGTTGTGTCATCCCTACTGTTGGAATTGTTGGACCGTTTGCGTTTTGCAGCACTCTTGCGTCTTCCCTTTCGTGGCTCACCAATAATCTCCGTCAAACAGCTATGCACAGAGTTCTTAATCTCGTTAAACAACTTTTTATCTCGAGAATCGATCTGATCTATCAACACTGAATCAGCTATGTTTTCAATTTCCTTTATAGCAGCAACCTGTACGAAAAATGGTCAAACATATGCAAGTATTCTACATAGGGGGGAAAAAAGGACCAACTATATTATAAATGGGCTCTTTGGAATCTGACTTACCGTCCTCTGAAACTCGGATTCGAGTGATTCAGGTTGCCCGATAAATTTACGGGTAATTTTCTCATACCACTGCATGTACTCACTTTCATCCACATCATCAACACCATCCACAATATGTTGTTTGCGGTCCAACCAATCCTTTACCTCTGCGTGCACTTTTCCTTTAGTCTCTGATTCTGTATCTTTTGTCAAATCCTTTACCTCTGCGTGCACTTTTCCTTTGGCCTTTAATTCTGTATCTTTTGTCAAATCTATCCCTTGATCACCAGATCGGATCCTTTTCTCCCATCGCTTGACCTTCTGTGGGATTGGCTGAGGCGAGCCAAACTGCCTTAAGCAACGATCTGGCATGTGTCTTTCTGCCTTGTCAATGCATATCAGCATAGTCCTTGCTAACTTCAAGTTCAAATTGTCTTTTATGTGATCAGGTACCACTGCAAAATCTATATCTTTGTAGGGAAGCCACTGAACCTGTATTTATTTAATAAATGACCAAATTTTCATCATAAGTGATTATCATATACATCAAGAAGCCATGTATTCACTTACATCACTAGATGTGAGGTTATCTAAGGCCTTGCGATAAGCAACTATATTGGAGGTTGATCTTGGTCCACTTTGTCTTCCTTTCCACCTAAGTGCAAATGGGAAGTTACCACTTGGATCCTCATTGATCTTTGGTCGCCCAATGTTAAGGTGAAAATAACTCCAACACTACATAACAACATATAGCATCATCTTAACGCCTTTAACATCACAGAAAGATCCAATTGTCTTACTACAAACCCCAAACCCAACTCAACAACAAGAATAAAAACAAAGAGAGAGAAAAAAAAAAAAAGGTCGAGTTTACCTACCTGTAATAGAGTCAAAGAGCCGCTAATGGTGCCTTGAGATTTGATAGAGGCATTACCAAGAGTCCTATAAAGGAACGACAGTGCTGCTGCTCCCCATGCAAATTTTCCCGCTTCCTCAAAATTTTCAAAGAAAGAGAGATACATGATAGAGACTTTGTTCCCAGTTGTTGTGGAAAATATAGTGCTGCCAACGAGATACAGGATATAAGCGCGCGTATAGCGCTCAATTGTTTCAGTTGATGCATCCTCAGGACACTTGGAAAAGCACTTTTTCAACCAAGTAAGCTTCAACATTCCGCCATTCAGGTCCTCCGGGGCTTTTCCTAGTAGCTTCTCACAAACTACACTAGGTGAGTTTGATTGTGGACCTACCACAGGGTTTCCTTCAATTGCCAGACCAAGTATCAGCCCAACATCCTCAAGGGTTATGGTCATTTCTCCTACAGGCAAGTGAAACGTATTGGTTTCTCTCCTCCACCTCTCAGTTAGAGCTGAGATGAGCGAGTTATCGAGCGAAAACGAGGGGATCAATCTAAGGTACCCAAATCCCGCCTTCTCAACCAACTCAATTTGTTTTCGGGTGAGCTTCCACTGTACCAGCATCGAAGTGTGTTCATGACATCTAAGCACGCCTCGCTCCTGCACGTGTAAAAATTAATTTTTAGCCACAAAACGTAGTACCCAATTAACACAAGTTTATAAATACAGGAAAAATAACAACCTGCCCATCCCAAACAGCTGAGGAGACATGGTTCTCTTGATCATATAGCACAGACTTATCAATTGGTCCAGGATCTGCAACAATTGCCATTTGAGCTGCAAACAAGAATAATAATTAAAAAAAAAAAGAAACAATGAAATATTAAATCAAAACTAGACCCATGATGGGTGCTTCATCATATGTTAAGTTAATCGTAACAGCAATAGTTGAGGGTAAATAAACAAAATCCTAGATAAGTTAAACAATCAGCCAATGACTAAGCTTAAATATGACTAGATCAAGGAATGTGATATTAAGATCAGAAAAATATTCCATTCACCAACATACTCATAAGTCATACCATACATGTAACATACACAGGGAAAAAAAAAATCTTATCAACAGAAACGGATGATTAAGCCAAAAGCTAAAGTCATTAATTTTTTAATATTTCTTCCATTCCAAACTGCTTTAAATCAGAGTGTTGATAAATCTTTCCAAGGGATTAATAATAGTTTAGGATTTTGTCTGAATGTTCAAGTTTTGTAAAAGAGAAAATTTCAAAGGACTTATAATTTTTTGATTTCCTTTTTTGTATTACAAGGATTCTCCCTTTCTCTTTTAAAAGTCTAGGCTTTTATTATTCAGGGAGAATTTATTCAAAAAAATTTGGTGAAACAACTGAGCTTTCCTAATCCTTTCACCAATAACAAGGAGAAAGCCCAAGCCTCTAAATAGATTACGAATTAAACAGTTTTCAGTCCGAAACAGGAATAATCCGAGCAAAAAAAGGTCAAAATGTTAGCTTTATCACAGAACGAAAATTTCCGTGTTTAAGTTTTTTTTTTTTTTTTTTTAGTAGAACAAAGTATCTATTAACCAATAGATACAATCAATGGTGGAAGATATCCAACCATTAAAGACACGAACTTTACCAGATTCTTTGACGAGAGCAGCGAAATCGAAAAAGAAGATTTGCTTTAGGTTGTGCTGCTGTAAACGTAATGGGAACCCTAGCAGTACAAAGGATAGAGAGAGAAAGAGAGAGAGGACGATGAGTTTGTCCCTATCGTAGTTGTTCTCAATTTCCATTTCCGTGTTCATAATTTTTCACTTATATTTATTCTCAGATTTTCTCAGTAACCAAACAGAAAGAGAAAATTAAAACCCTAGAAACCCAAAATCAGAGAAGTAGAAGCCTTAATAAAATAATATGAGAGTAAGATCTAACCGAGAAATTTCTGAGCGGAAACGACAACAACGGGATGAGAATCAGAAATCGACGACCTTCACCTGGAACGATATCAGAAACCCTCCACAACGACGACGACGATGTCGTCTCATCGGATGGACCCAGATTTAAGGTCGTAGAAAGCTCTGAAGATAATGTCTAGCCAAAACGCAAAAACGGAGGAAAAATTAAAATAAATTAAAAAAACGACGTCGTTTTCTTGGTAGCTGTCAGCGATTGTTCTCACGCTGACAACGAATACGACAACGACAAAAAACTCGTGATTGGGTTGAAGATACCGTCCCGTCCTACCCATTTGGCTATTTTGTTTAAATAATAAATTAAGGTGCTTTAAACAATTAGTATTATGTATTGCATTCACTATTTATGCCATTGCCTTAAAACAAAATTTTTACTAATCATGGGAAGTCCACTCTCTTTTCTCTAAAATTCTTTCAAATTATAGTACAAAAAAAGTTTTTTTAACTAAAAAAATATTATATTTATGGTAGCTTCTAATATGTTGAAATTATACGTGATTATGCTCAAATTTGGGTGTTTTTTGTTTTGTAAAATATTAAATTCGTGTGTGTATCAATGATAATTGGACTACAATTTAAGTCATTGTGTTTGTTTGGACTAAATAACATTATTTTGACAATATCTTCAAAATAATGCAAACAAGAAACAGTTAACTTTTTTTGTCAGCTACAAATATAATTTAATTGGTGATTACTAATTCTATTGAAAACTATTCACTAAATTTGGTCATTTCTCCGTTGGGAGGACAATATTTGAACGTTACCCAATACCCACCACCAAAAACTATTTGGCTTAACCCTTTTTCTTTGTCGTTTTCCTTTTGATAAATAGTGTCATTTGTCATTTTTCTCTTTCTCTTTTGGACTTGCCCAGCCAAAATATAGCTTATTATACCGACACTTAATGTGTTTTGCTAAAATTATACAGACACCTCCTTTGATAGAAATTAATCACGTCAATATCTCTTGACTTTTTATAAAAATTATAAGGACACCCACTCTATTAGTTGACCGTAAATCTTGACCGTTAAATTTCTTTAAAATGCCAAAAATGCCCTTCTATTTACTAAAAAATGTTTCTAAGTTGTACATAATATTAAAAAAGATGTTTATACCCTTATTTAGCGTAAAAAATGAGTTTAGTTAATTTTTACACATTTATAACTATAATTTTCACTCTAATAAAAATAAATATTTTTTTTTGTAAAAATCTTTTGTTTTAGTAATGTTATCCATCCACTAAACTAGGTATTAAATTAAAAACCATTTAATATTTGATACATTATTAAGACTAACTATATTATAATGAAAATTAATTTAATTGAAAGAATAAATTAAATTCGACAATTTTATCATAATAATGAAACAAAATGGTTTAAATTAAATTTAAAACATTAATGATAAAAAATATAATAAAAAAATTAAATGCATTAACTTTTTTTAATATATTTTTACGTTAACTCTTTAAAAAAATATATTACAACACGACCTAACACAATTTTTTATTAAAAAATCAAATAAAAAAAAGAAATTAAATTTAACAAAGAAATAGTTTCAACATTTTTCATTAAAATTTAACAGAGTTTCAATTAAAGAGTGCTGTAATTTTAATAATACACAGAGTCATTGTTCTAAGCCCAAAAAAAAAAAAAACGTTTGATCACATTTATATCACGTGGATTCCAACTAGTTAATCATTTACTCCTCATGACTTGGGTAAAACCGTAACTTAAATCATCATGATAATATGTAACGCTTTTAAGAATTAAGTATATTTAATTATACTAATTGTGAATTATTAATGTGTTTAATTTAATTTTTATAATTAATTAATAAATTTTAAATTATCTTCAGTATTTATGATTTCAACCAAATTTTTTTTAAAAATACACTTAAATTCTAATGTATTTTCCTTTTTCCATTTTCTTTTCTTTTTTTCTTTTTTCTTTTTTTCCTTTTTCTTTTTTTTTTCTTTTTTTTTCCTTTTTCTTTTTTTTCCTTTCCTTCTTTTCCCTTTTCTTCTTTCCTTCCCGCGGCTGCAGACGTCTCTCTCTCTCTCTTTCTTTCTGTTTCTTCTTCTCTCTCTCCTCTGGTTCTTCCACGGCAGCCCACTTCTCTCTCTCTTTCTCTCCCTTTTTCTTCCACCGCCGGCCACTTCTTCTCCGGGCTCTCTCTCTCCCGCCGGCCTTCTCTCTCCGGCCATTTCTCTCTCTCTCACTCGGCTGTTTGGCCGAGACACTAAAAAAAAAAAAGACAAAAACGAGAGAAATGGAGAGAAACAAGCTTCAATCACTTTGAGGTAAAGATTTCTTAAAAACTCACACTTAAATTTGAGTTATTAATTTGAGAATTTAAAATTTTAGTTAAATCGGAATAATTTTGAGTTAGGGTTTAGATTTGAACAATTGTTGTTAGAATTAAATTAAATTTGAGAGTTTTTAGTTATTGGACTTGTTGAATTGATTGAAAACTGATTTTGATGATTTCTAGATAATTTATTTTCAAATTGAACTTAAATTGTAAGTTTGGCATTTTTCTTATTTATGTCGGTATGTTGTCGAAATTTTTAAAAAAATTTGTTTTTAAGCTGAAATTAAATAGGAAACTAAACTCATGAATTGGATTTCAATTTTTAAAAAACCCTCAAAGTGAATAATAAAATCATTTGTGAAACTTGGATTTGAGTCAAGGCACACTAATAGGAAACAATTAAACAACTTTAAGGAAAGCGGAGGTTAGGGTGACGAGATATTGCTTTTGTGATAAAGCTAGTGGAGAAGTTAGCTACATGTTTGACATCCGAGAGGTAAGATATTCTTCTCATATCTTTGTTAGCCTATTTTAAAGTGTTTTGGCCAAGTAATGTTCTCAAAAGGTAAGTATATGTTGATAAAGAAAAGTACTTTCAAGACAATAGCTTGATTTTTGTTATTGATCTCATAATGGATTGATTTCAAGTTTTTAATGAATATTTTTTTAAGATAAGATACCTTGCTAACTGGTAAGCCCACTGATGGCCTAGATAGGATATGGAGATCGTATCTTTGGGGGCAGAACTCGAAACCCGGACGGGTCACTATGGTGGTATCTTTTGGGCCTTGCTTTGGTCGTAAGTAATTTAATTACTTAAATTACTTGCTGGTTGCCTATAATCTGGAATTTCAATTTATTTACCTTTTAGAAAAAGGTTGTTTGGTTCTGATTGATTTCTTTCAGGCCTAATTATTTCATTTTATTTACTTATTTATTCAGTTTTATAAATCTTATCCTACTGGGCTTTTCGCTCATTTTTTTATGTTTCAAATGTATTTAACCTCACCCAGACGACGTTAGAAGTAGCACATAATAGGTGAGGAATTCAGTTCTAGAAGAAAGGAAGCGGTGAAGCAGTTTCCATCTTGATCAGACTAATTAAGGCATGTATTAACTATGGATTGTAAAACCTTAAACATAACTAGACTGTGGTTAATGTCAGTTATTTACTTTTTTGTATTTAATTATGTATGCCCAAATTATAACCCTGTGGATGCCGGAGGCTGACTTTTGATGTTGATCTTAATAGTAATTGTGTTTTGTAAAATCTGCCTCACTTTTTCTTAAAACTCGATTTCGTTAAAATAACATGGCTTGTTTAGAAATACCTGAGTGTTTGGGATTTGAAATTAAATTTTGAAATGTTAATGGTTTAATCACCCTCTTAATCAGGTTTAATTTCTAAACAAGCCTCCACGTCACTAACTCATGTTTGGGGGCGTGACAGATGATGTAAACCGAGATTGATGGAGATCGAAGGCCAAGAAGAGTACGACGCAAAAATCCAACTCAGGAAGGGTCATGATAAGGCCGTGTTTGGTAGAGGGCTTGGGCTTAGCACCGACGACAGAACAGTGTCTCGTCGTCACGTCGCTTTCGAATTGAAATCGGGCGCGAAACAAACAGAGCCCATTGGTGTTTCGTTTGAGGTTCTGGGGAAGAATCCCGTTTGGGTCTGGAGCAAAGATGATGGGGAAATTAGGGTTTTCAGGAGGTCGGAAAAGGGAGAATTGGCCACCGGGGATTGGTTTTGCGTGTCCGGCAAGAAACCCGCCTGGTTTGTTCTTAGAGATATCGGCGTCGAAGAAGGAACAGAGAGACTTTCGGAAGACGATGGGATTGAATGGGCGGCTGAGAATTCGCGAAGCGGGTTAGAATTAGAGGGTTTTGATGTTTCGGACATTGACCCTGTTAAAGGTTTGATCTATGAACCCTAATTACGAAAAATGATGCCTTGAAATTTGAATGATCTTTGATTCGATTTTTGTGTGCTTTGTCGTAGAGAATTGTAAATTTGTAATAATGATGTCTTAAAAGACTTGAGAGTAAGAAAATAAAGATAAAATTAAAAATAAGATTTTTCATGGGTAAGTGAGAATTTTGTATGTGTTGATTTAGTCTTCCGTGTATGTCAATAATAGATATAAATATACACCTATATAGCATTATTAAAGTCACCACATATATAGAAATAAGAAGCATTGGAGCATATAAAAGTGAAAAGCATTACTTTAACGTTGGAAAAGTGTATTTATAGTATGGGATAATTAAATTTCTTGGTGTTATATTCTCACATCAATGTTACATTGAATATATATTATATTACGTTTCTCACTTCTACATGGTACTAGAAAGTCTTTCATAATCATATATTTGGCTTTTGGGTTTTGCCTCTTATGCTCCAACATTCCAATCCAAAAGATTGCTACTTTTTTGGTTGCTCATTGATAATCTAGTATATGACATTTTTTCTCGGTGAATTGCATTTTCAGCAATCAGTTTTGGGACTGTGGAGTTACTGATATTATATTATTATGTATCATTTTATTTCTTTCGGGAATGCAGAGTTTGGTTTTGTGGTAATGGGGCATGAGTTTGACCACTATCCCAAGCTTATGATCCGTGATGTGCAGAAGTGGGACTGGTTTCTTGAAGAAGACGTGAAAGAAAGCGAAGATGAGGAGAAGTTCGAGAAGAAAAAGAAGAGGGGTGTGAGCAAAAGGAGGAAAAGAGGTAAGGATAACGAGAATGATGATGATGAAGAGTGGACCGGTGAGAGTGAAGATGACAAAGAGCTTGTGAGAAAAGCAAATAATAGGTCAAAGTATTCTACAAGATCAAAGGACCGTGACAAGCCTCAGAAGGATAATTCTCAAGATAGTAAAAAGTCTTCACAGAAGAAAGTTTATATTGCTGCTGATGATGAGGAGGATGAAATGCTTGGGGGGTTTGTTGTTGGTGATGAGGATGTGGGCCATGAGGAAGAAATGAACGGTGACGATGAAGAAGAGGAAGAATTTGTGGATGATGATGATGATGAGTGATGGAAAGAATAATATTTGTTGTTTGTTTGTGTATTGTATATTTTTGTTTGTTTTTGTTCCTTCTTCCTCGAGCAGTTGGGTCAAGTCACAGTATTCTGTATAAGCAACTCATCATGTACTAATAACATGTGTTCTGTTGCAATTATCAGAAAGAAAAAAATGTTCTGTTTCCCGTATCCTTGTTTTGTTTAGAATTTAAAATTCTTTTACTTTGTGAATTATGAAATTTCTTGTCTTAAATATTATGGAGAAAAGTTACCATGATTTGTGAATTAGATATAGTCTTCTTGTTCTAAAAATTTATTGTCAAAGTGTTGTTATTTTGAGATCAGTGTGATTTAAAAGGAATTAAAATTTTGTGGGGTTAATATACGAGTAAACCATTTCTTAAGCGTGGGAAGATTTGTAAAATTCATTTTAAAAGAGCCAGTATAACCTAAGCCCCCACTCAACTATTTTGTTTCCTTAAAAATTTATACATAAATAAGAAGTGTGTTACAATAAACCCCCATTAAAATTTTCAAAAATTAATTTTGTAGTCCCCATTAATTTTTTAACTTAATTATTAGCCCCCATTGATATAAATTCTTGACTCCGTCGCTGCAAATAAAAGATGCCTTATTAAAAGATTTCAGATAAAAAGAACGATGGAAGCAGACTTGTCTAAACGAAGGGAAAAATCGCCTTTTACCAAAGACTTGTCGCAAGTGCATAACAGAGGTGAACATATGCAAATAACCACTGAGTACGAGGGTATTCTACACAATCTACATGAATAACCACATACACTAAACATACGTGAATAAAAAGTATAAAGTATTTAATGCTAAACCATACGTGAATAACCACACACACTAAACGAATAACCATGGAGTATAATGTTATTCGACACTGACACTAAACTAGGCCTGAATAACCATATACACTAAGTTGGTCTAAGTTTAAGTTTACGGTTTGAATAATTTTGTTAATATAGGAATAATTTTTGTTTAGTAAAAATTAAACTAATGAATTATTTAAATTCTTATTTCAGTTTTAGAAATTGTGGTTTGAAGAGGTGTAATAATATGTTAATTATTGACTTTCACAATTAAAGCGGTGTTTTTTTTTTTTTTTTTTTATTTCATCTAAAAGAGGGAAAAAAAGTTAACCACCAATTCAATATTTGAGAAACAAATAGTTAATCAACGTTCTGCTTACTAATCATAAAATAATCATTAAAAATATAAACATCATTTGATAAATCAGACATTTTCCATTTAAAAATTATGCACATTATGGCGTTATCAGATTCACTCCATTCATAATTTTATCTTCAATTTTTTTTTTTTTTTAAAAAGTAATTATCTTCAATTCCTTATGGGATTCACTGATATATTAGTTATCTCTTAGTTTTTTCTCAACTCATCTCAAACTAGTTTATCGGATTCACTCCTATTATTGTTATTGTGGTTGTGTTGTTTGTGTGTGTGTGTGTGTGTTTTTTTTCTGTGGTAGAAAACTCTTTGGTGGCGTTTTTTGGGAGACTACTAAAGGTATACGGTTTGGAAATTTGTTTTGTTTTTATTTTTATTTTTTCCTTTTTCAATTTGGCTTTAGAATCCTATATTCCTCGGAACTTCTATGAATTTACTATTATTATTCTCATTATTCTCTACGACTGTAAATGTTGTTAGTAATGAAAATGTTCCTATATCAGGTGGAAGTGAAAAGGACAATCCCTAAGGATATGTTGGAATATTTTTATATGGACTTTCATAATCATAATAATTCACTTTGTAATTAATTAAAGTATTTTATAGACAACTGTATTAATGTGAATTAATACATATATGTATGTTAAATATCGATCTATAATGGGATGAACACTTGTTTTATTAACTCGCTTGAGGCATATGAATTTCATCTATCTCATAATATTTGGTCAGCACATAGGACTAAATACCATTTCTATTGAATATTACTTAAAAGCCCTTAGGCCTATTTATTTTTATAAGTAGCACCCCTTCTTTAGAGGAGGTGGGCTTGTGCTTGTGTGTGTGTGTGTGTGCTGCAAATGTGAAAGGGGCAGAGAGGGAGATAGGGAGGAGCTCAAGAGCACCTCTTACAACTCTTCTTCTTATTTGCAGGTCCCCCATTGATTCCGGCAGGCCCATTGGCAGATTCCGGCAACCGTGGGCGACGCTTTTCTCTGCCTACCGGAAAAGGCAATCTTCCTTTATCCATTTCAATGTATGCCTAAATCCCAAATAAATTTTATGGTATTTTTAGATTTATAGCTAGATTATTATTTTTGATCTTGTTTAGATTGTGTTGAGATCATTTTAAATCTAGCAAATGGTATCAGAGCCAACTTATTTGGGTTTAGAGCAACAATTTTTGGATTTTTCCATTTTTCTGGAACAAAAATCTAAATTTTGTAATCCGTGTTTTATCTCAAAGAAATGATTTTTTGAGGTTACCAACTTCGAATATGGCTTATGAGTGTTATTTTTCTTGAGTTTCATGCACTAATTCGGAGGTTTTTTGGATGTTTAAGGAGGTTCAAAAGAGCATGAATTTAGAGAAAAACGGCTTTTGAATCATCAAAATCGGAGTTATAAATAGGAAGTTATGCCCATTCAAAGTCTCGGATTCAAACCGGGTCGCAAAACGGGTCTCGTGACCTGTCTGAAGGTAGAAGATGACCATATAAAAAAAGTGATGATGCAATTAATGCGCCTGCTAGGGCGCGCTTCAAACGCCCTAGAAAGAGGAGCGCGCCGGTCCGCGTGTCAGAGCACGTGTCAGCCGCACGTCAGCGCCTAGGTGGCGCGCGTGGGACCTATTTTTAGGTCACATTCTGTCCTATTTTGTGATTTTAACTCCGTTTTTAGCACCATTTTCACCGTTGTGCTCCGTTTTTCATTTCCTACCTATTTAAATGATTTATTTTGGGTTTGGACCACCATAAAATCATGTTTTTAATATTTTTATATTATTGATTGTATATTCTTATGAATGGCTAATTCTCACAATTTTTAAACAAATTTTTCTTGGGCATTTTGCATATAATTTGTTTAATGATTAAATGCCATAAAGTTTAATTGTATTGTTTGATTTTGGCATAGTAAATTTTAATTCGACAATAGTGAATGTTTATGTACTCGCCTGTCGTGAGTCTAAATATGTCAAATTGTCTGCGTATGTTACGGAGCTCTCCCACAAAATTTAACATTTCCTTTTAAAAAAAGGCATTGGGATACACACACTCCTTACATGGATGCACATGAGCTACAAGAAATTATTTTTATTTAAATATTTGTTTATTATAATAATTTTCATATATTTTATGGGTAGTTTTAATTCTCACTATTTTGAGACTTAAAATTTTGGGGCATGTTTATTACTTCATATTATAAGGTCATATTTTATTTAAAATTTTGGGGCATGTTTGTTACTTCATATTATAAGGTCATATTTTATTTGTTCTCTCATATAATTTGAGATTTTGGTAAATAAAATTTAGACATATAATATGGATGTTTGTTCAAATTTTGAAATGCTCATTTTGTGTTTAATTTTTTAATGGCTAATTATTTGTATAGGCATACATAGTCTCTTTTATGTTAAAGTGAGAATGAAAATTTTAATTAGAAGCTCATGTGCTATTATAAAGCTTAAGCTATCAGTTTATCTATAATTTATTTATTATTGCTATCATTATTATTTGATATCTTATTTTATGTGAGTATCATGTTTTTTTATTATGCTATCCAAGTTTGAGAAAATTAGAAACATTTTTTTATGGATTAGCATAATCACTAACTCACATACTATTATCAAATAATAAATTGTGAGATAATATGGATAAACTTAATTTGTTGATTATGTTCTGAAAGTCCATACATGTAATAGAATAATCCTATCGATAGTTTTATTGCTTGGTAGGATGCTTGAGTCTTGTTGGAGCTTAAGCTTTTTGTCTCTATCCATGTATTTTATTTACATATTATTATTTAACATTTTGTATTATATGAGTATTTTTGTCATTGATTATGCAGTCCAAGTGGGAGAATATTGTGAATAATTATATATGGACTTGCAAAATCACTAAACTCATATTATGGTCAAATAATATATTGGAGTGTTAAGGATAAAGGTATGTATTTACCATATTTCTAATATCCATACGGGCAATTAAATTATCCTATCGATAATTAATTGTTTGGTAGGATGCTTAGACCAGTGAAGGAAATTTGTTGGATGTCATGAACCGTATAATCTTTACTACATTGTCGGTGGTGGATTGATGCATTTGGTTATGATGTTTGATGAATTGCCCTTACATGCGAAAGAGTTCTATTCTTGCTCAACGGACTCTTACACACAATGATCATATTGGCTTGGATCATTGGGAAGGCTAAGTAAAGGCAAATTGCATGATCTTGTTTTACATGCCTATTGTTAGTTCCCCTGTTATTTTCTTTAGCCTTGAGCAATCCTTGCATCTCTGCTATCTTGATGCTAAATGGGACAAGTCATTAGATATTGTATGGATCTCTCATAATGAATTTGTTAATGATGAAACAGACATAGCCTTGAGCATGGATGTGTTTTCTAGCTCCACTAATGTGTTGAGAAACTCTATGATGAGTGGGAGTGTATGAATAGCACTGAGGCAGTAGCGTCTCAATTTTAGGATGAGACATTCACTAAAATTAGCTTTATGGAGAACGTTGTTGAGAAATGCGTATGTGTAAGGTCAGTCGGAGCAGTTGCATGTTTCTGTTTTTTATATTGGTGACAACTTGCTTGCGCCTAATGATTCTAACCTATTGGTTGAGACAAATAGCATGTTGCCTAGTCACTTTGGTATGAGAATCTTGAAAAAGCCTCTTATGTTCTAGGCATGTAGATTCCTCGTGACAAGGATAAGTGCATTTTCTGGTTGTCTCAGAGAACCTATATTGTTCTTGTTTCAAACAGGTTCAGTATGCATTCTTTTCTCATAGTAAGCATTGTTTGTTAAAGTGACAAACTCTCAAAGGTGTAATGTCCTTATGGTGAAGTAAGGAAGATCAAATAAAATTGACCTTTATGCTTACGTGTTTAGCAACCTGATGTATGCTCAAATATGCACACGTCTTATTATTATGCTTGTTATTGACGTGCAGATTCAGTACTTGAGTGATTGTTGTTATTATTACTAAATTAACTGGGAATGATGTCCTAGATAGTTGTGTA